TCGGATTTAACGAGTACATGTTACGGTCCCTTTGTGCTCGTTATAAAAGAGTTCGACTGTATTAAAATATTGATACATTACCTTTGTTACCACAAGAGTGAATATGAATAGCATTTTTTCATTAATAGATAAATTAGGTACTAACAAGCTTCCAAAAGTGGTAAAAAAAATAGACACGTGATGGAGCACTTGAAACATATCATAGGCTGAATATTTTGTTCAATCAGGGCTTGCAATAAACAAGGTATGGCATAGTTTGTCTACAGTTAGAACTCCCCTAGGGAGGGTTGCTTCTCTTCACTCTAGGGCTAACACAATTGACCGAAGAAAAATATTCCCTTTCTCTCGCCGATTCCACACCGCCATTTGAAATAGTTATACCTCGTTACCATAGTCACCAACACGGATCCAGACGAATGGTTAGGGGAGTTCTTACTTTAGACAAACTATTTTAAAATTTTGTATGAACTATTTGGAGACAGGGACCTGGAACGTTTTCCCATGCCCCAAGGCTCTTTTAGTTTTTTTAAATAATCCACCAGTTCATATAAGTTTGAACAGATATGTAAAAGATCAGATAGATAAATAACTATATTCTTAAAGTTGAGTATTAATTTTGTTTTATGTATGTATGCAAATGTTTCATTTTAATTCACTCACTTCTAAAAAATATTTTGTTAACATATTTTTTGTATAATATCGTATTAAAAATTGGGTTTTTAAAATCTTGCAGAATTTCATAGCAAAAACCGTTGAAAAGGCAATCGAGAAACTAAATAGAATTACGAGAGAATCTGTGCAATTTGAACGCATTAAAAAGTGATGATTCAAATTTGCAATCTAAACTTTTACATTTTTTAATGTTTAATTTTTTCAAATTTTATTTTTATTTTACATTTTTTATATTTTAAGAAAAGAAATTCAGTGTGCTCAGAAGATTTTGCGGGCTGCAGGTTTTCAACCAAATTTATGCTAAAAAACATTGCTAGGAGTACAGAAAAGTCTCCTTTTCCTGAAAATAGTTGCTTTTTTTTTAGCCTTTTCAGGCAAAAAAAAAAGTTGTCTGTGGCTACTCTGCATATATGATTCCTAGATATATCAAGGGAGAAGTTTTGGTGGTGAATCAAAAGTAGTTTTGAAGAATAATGTGAGAGTATCNTTTTTTTAGCCTTTTCAGGCAAAAAAAAAGTTGTCATGGTCGCCTCATGCTGAAAATAGTTGCATTTTAGTCGCCTGTGGCAACCCTGCTAAGGGAACTTTAAATGCTACTAAGTTTTTCGGTTTCTGTTAGAAGACATTGGTTGAGTGCATGTATGATGTGCATTAAACAAAGTTGAAAAAGTTTTACAAATACTTTTATTTCTAACATAAAATAACATAATTGTGAATTAGACAATAAAATAAGATCAGGTGTGCCAACAGATAAAAGAGAGCTGCATTTAAGATTATTCATTTTACAATATCTGGAAGTCTGCTTATTGAGAAGTAGTTGAGAGAAAATTTGTTACTAGAAAACTACATAAGAAACAACATTTAAAACATTAAATATTCAAAATATTTTCACAGGATAGTAAGCTATTTAAACTTTTGCTTTGGAAGTTTCTTCTCATCTAGAAGTATCTTAATAAAATTTTAAATGCTGGAAACATTGACAGTTTAAATAAATAGTCACATTTATTAATCTATTCTACATTAAAAATTAAGCTTTAAAGAAATGCACATTTAACATTGAAGGATTCAGAAATATGAAATATTATCCACATTTTCTCCCTTGAAAAAAAAAATTTGAAAAACAAAATTTTTTTGCAAAGGATTTCTTTTTTTGTCAAAATTAAAAAAGCTAAAAAGCAACATAGTTTAATTTTAAAATGAAAACAAATTCAAATCAAGCAATCAACAGATTTTGTTATGAATATATTTCAAACTGTTAAGAAAATAAATGCTCACAACATAAAGAAAATTTTTTGTTGTTGATTATTTAAAGTTTCTAAAAATAAATTGGTATTTAAGCTAATGATTTTATTGAAATTGATCAATATGTAACGTAAACAGACATGTGATAGCTGGAAGAAGAAAATATCTTAAATTTTCTTGGAATATATTTTTTTCTTTTGTACACAAAAGTAACATTTATAAAATTTAAAGAGAGAAAAAAACTATTTTATGTAATAATTTTTCTCTCTTAAACATATAAAATATGTATATTAAAAAATAATAATAATTCCTCCGTTTTCACACTTTGAATTACAGAAAAAAAAATTTTTTTCTTCTTCAAATTTGTGAAATTTATGGCAATAACTGAAAAAAGATTATTGATAAAACCACGGACATGTGCGACAAAATCTCAATATCTAACACATCAAAAAGTGGTTAATTAAAAGTATGTTTTGAAATTCACATGTTTAATATTATATTAAAAATACAGGGATCTTAAAAAATATGTAGAAATAAGTAGCAATAACAGGCGAAAAATGGCTCAAAAAAACGCTTGAATCCTTGCTTCAAATAGTAAATAATTAGGTGCCAGATTTAAATTTCCTTAACATAATAATTCACAAGATTTTTTTTAAAAAATCATGAAAATCAACAGCAATAACTGCCCAAAGAACTCTGATCGAGACAACACATGGATTTAGCGAAAATAGAGCGCAATAAAGAGTAATAACATGGATATCTGTAGGAAAAAATTCAATCGGGTAAACAGTGGCATCGTCGTGTCAAAAATGACTAATAAATACACGAATTGAATTTTGCGTGTTGTAATAACATTGGAATTTTAAAAACCATTAGAAAAACAATGACATCAACTGAAAAAGATCAAAACTAGGATTAACGATGGTATCCAGCGTGTTGAAATGTGTGATTTGGATTTTAAATTTCCACGTCAAAATATCATGTTAAAAAATTTCACCAAATTGCAAACAAATAAAAATGGGGGCAAATATATCCCATTGATAACATAATTTTTCTGTTACAAATAAGAATTTGCTACTCATTGAAATTAGAATTACTTCATAGTTTATTAATTTTATACTTATGTGTTTGCCTCGGTAGTTTATTATTCTGGCAGACGCTTTTATGAAGCTTTTTTTTTTCAGTCTTACTTACTCTCAGTTGGGTTTTAACTCAAACAAGTCTACGTTATAAGAACAGCTGTTATCGCCCGTGAATGAGAGGTGTGAAGAGGGTGCTGGAAAGTGTGGTATTAATGCCTTGTTAATGAGATTTCGCATAAGCAACGAAATTTAAACTGATTCATAAAAGTATGCGAATCAATGGTCACAATATTCTCAGAATCCAGCAAATTAGCAGAAGAATCACATGCCTGGTAAAACAAATTATTCAGGATATCTCAATAACAAATTATTTTTTATAAGATTTAATTGACAAAGATTTCTTTAACTATTTATATGTAAAAGAATGTATGAGAAATATTTATAAATTTATAATTGAGATTTTCATTCTTGTACAAAAGAACAAACAATTTATTTTTCTGCAAGGGGGAAAAAAGAAGATGCATGCAAATAAATCACTATTTATAAAAACAAGTTGAAAAAGAAAGAATAAAAAAAATAAGAGCAATTAAGTCTTCCAAGAATTGAAAGCAAATCAGCAATACAAAAAATATATATATATAAATTGAACAAGGTAAGAAATTAAATGCTAATTTAAGTAACCTTTAAGAAATAAAAGAAATTACAATTTTATCAACAGTCATATAAAACTAAGATTTTGGATCTTGGCATCAATATAAATTTAAAATTACATAGAAAAAAAATCATATTTAAAACATAACATACATAAATATTTGAATAAAGAATTTTCTTAACATTCAATAGTTGATACATCTTAACACCAACGTGATATAGAAAGCTGCATTCTGTGAACATTCACAAATTGTACATTATTATAGGAACTTCAAGAAATTCTTTTAGGTTTTTTTTATTCGATAATAAAATTTAAAAGTTGATTCGTTACTGTCATTTAAATAAAAAACCACTTAATTTTTCTTAAAACTATATCAGATAGCCTATGTGATTCATATACATTATCTCAAAATTGTAAATAAATAATGTACAAAATAAGTTTGGGTGCATTAAATGTTGAGAATTATTACCCTTTTAACAAAACCAGAAACCACGGTTCATACTCAGATGGACTTTCAACCTCGTCAACATTTTTAGAATTTGTCTATAGGATGCCAAAAAATATGAACAATTCGCCAAAAGTAAAAACAATTTAATAATCTATAATTCTACAAGAAAAAAATAATTAAGACCCAAGATGAAATCTAAAACTCTATAAGGATCAGTACAAGTCATTTTATTAAAGAAATAATTAAAATTCCTCTCAAAAGAAAATATTTTAGAGAATAATTTTTATTTGAAACAAAAAAAAAAGATAATCGCCATGTTTTGATATAATTTCAAACCGTGTGATGTTCAACGACGGTTAGCTGAATTTCTTCACTCCATTAGCAACAAGGATCTCCAACCAGGTGATTCATATTTGAATCTATCACAGGATCATTGCAAAAATAAAAACAAAAAAATATTAGTATTCTGGATGGTGATCCTGTTTCATGTAGTAAAATAGTTATTGCATTTCGTATCACTCGAACAGCTTTGAAATTGTGTGACTCGTATAGGCACGATCTGAGTTTTGAAGGCACATAATTGAGGCAATTTTCTTTTAAGGAATTCAAAGATAATTTCAAATCAATAACACATATAATTGATGCACCATTATTAACATAACTCCAAACAATAAATAGGCTTCTATTTTGTTAAACAGGATTCATACTAAAATGAAGAGTAGATAAATCTTACTACAGGACAAAGGAAANCGTATAGGCACGATCTGAGTTTTGAAGGCACATAATTGAGGCAATTTTCTTTTAAGGAATTCAAAGATAATTTCAAATCAATAACACATATAATTGATGCACCATTATTAACATAACTCCAAACAATAAATAGGCTTCTATTTTGTTAAACAGGATTCATACTAAAATGAAGAGTAGATAAATCTTACTACAGGACAAAAGAAAAAGAATAATTAAATTAAAAGAATTTCATAAGAAAAAAAGACTTTAAAAATAGTCCTATGAATTAGAAGCTTTCAAAATATTTCAGAAATCCATACAATCTTGGTTTGAATTGTTAAAAGAATAGCAATTGAAATTTAATTTGATTCTAAAATGTTTCAAAGTAAATTTGAATGTAAAGAAAAAAAAAATGCTCCAAAACAGTCAAAAATAAAGGTAACATTTAAATAGAAAAAGTGTGAGACTTCTTCAGGAAATGGGGACTGTTTTATTCAAAAGATTTCTGTAGTCTAAAATAAAATTCCTACATACACAAAAATTTATAGTTAGTCATTCCCTTGCATAGGCATTGATCATATTGTAAATTATTTTCAGTGTAAGCATGCTTGGATTGAAAAAAAATAAATACTGAAGTAAAATTAATTTACAAGTTAAAACAGTCCAGAGTTGGCAAAAATCAATTTTTTTTTTTTTTTAAAAATCTGATATTTTTTATATTTTTCTGCAAAATTATGATAAAATGTATTCATAATACTTAATATTACTTAAAATCAATAATATAGTTAAAATAGTTGATATTTCTAACTAAAATGCTTCAAAAGTTATTATTTATTGCAAACTAATCACAGATAAATAAAATAAACTCATCATTAAAAATAAAATCATTGTTCAAGCTTAACATCCTAAAATTTTAAAGTGCAAAAGGCAATTTATTGTCAGATATCCAATGAAGAGTTAATTGGTTTTCGATCAAAATACGTTAAAAATAATTATTTAAGTTTATCTGGCAGGTTACTGATTTACAATAACTACATATTTAATACGTTTTACTAGCACTTGTATTGAACTAAACAAGACACTGACTGGGTATAATTGAAATACGCTTCTTACCAGCAAATTAATTTAAACAGAGCTTATAAAAAAAAATATAATTTAACAATTTCAAACCACTTTTAGTCTTTAATTTGATTTGTTTAGTAATAATACATTCTCTTTCTATTATTTCTTTCGATAAAAACTTCCTTATTAATGAATTTCACCTTTAAAAAGAATCCCCTTAAGGAATATATTTATAAATAATAATGTATAAAAATATTTGACTTAAAATTTATTTTTTAAAAAATCAATTTGCTTAAATCAATGATTTTTTCAAAAAAATTAAGTGATTTAAATTCAGATTTCAAACTTGATTTAAACCAAGTCAACTCTGCTACAGTCTGAAATTTCAAAATATAGAAATTTGAGAAAGGAAAGAGTAATTTTTTTAGACAGAAAAAAAAAACTTTTGAGAAAATTCGGCGAAAAAAATAGCAGTTTTAAAAATAATACTGTACAATTAGTGAATGATCTAATTACTTTGTCCATACAATAAAAATATTAATTACAGCTTCAGCTGCTTGTGACAGCACTCCCACGATGGCGATCCATGAGCAGATTTGGTGTTAGAGCACATTATGCATTGCACTTCTATAGATCTAAAGTTCGCCTCAATATCACAGCTATCTCGATAAAATACAAGGTGTTTTCGGCGGACTTGTCATTACACAAATTGTAAATTCTAAATAACTATCACACAATTTTCACAGATGTAACATTTATTTCCCCTTTTTATCTTGATAATCACCACACATACCCAGATTGGAGAAAGAAAAATAAACAATAACAACAAGAACATGGTCAGCAGGGTCACTCTCATCAGATGTAAAAGATCTCAAATGTTGTAAATATAACTTTCTTTTTTTTTTTGGAAGCCACCAAAAAGGGCCCCACATTATCATTTCCTTTTCAGGTGATATCACAATAAAATAATATTAATGTAAATAAAAAAACACTACAGATCTTAAAAAATAAAACACGCATGACAAACAATGCACATCTAAAAATACCTTTTAAAAGGGGGCATTTAAATAATTATCTATACAGATCTTAAATCGCTCAAGAGAACTTTCCTCTGTCTGTGCTTTATTTACACACGGTCAGCACCAAAAGATCATCACTTAAGGGGAAAGAATAAATATATATATTTGGATGTAAATACATACCAAAGTTGGCACTTTTTTTTTTTTTTTTGAAAACCCTCTGGACTCCACGGGGTCATCTCGGAGTCTCTCCCTGAGATTGGACTCTACCCAGATGTCAACAGGAACATCAAATGCTAATGGAATGTTAACAATTAGTATATACATATATATAAAGTGGTGTTTGCACTTTCCCCTCAGCTTAGATGGACAGATATAAAAGATGGAAGAGTGTGCGCATTTAAAAAGGATGCATTTTTTAAGATGTAATCACAAGAAGTCTACAATTTGAGCGCCACTCTGCTGTGGTCCTCAAACAAAGCCTTCCACTATCGCCTCAAGAAAAAACACCAGGGAAAATCAAAATATATCAAGTGGCATTGGATATATTTCTTAAAAGAGATAAAATTTTGGAAACAAAAAGATAATCTAATCTAATCTTTTAAGTATAAAATTTGGGATTATCTTTACTTGCTAATAAGCTTGTCAGAGATCTGGGCAACATATTTTTTTTGTTTGTTTAAATATATATATATATGCATAAATATAAACACCCTTTTTCGCAATGACTAGTAATAGGTAAAATATTTGGAGAGTCATCACCACGTCTGGTCCTCGAGGAGCTCCTCCAGGTATGCTCCGTCAGCATCCACGTCGACGTTGCGGACAGCTAGTGGAAGTTCGTCGTAAGTCATTGGACGCCAATTTCGTTGCAAGCTAAAACTGACTTGCTCTGTCATTTCGGCAAGTGCCCGAGATCTGCTCACTGATGCATTCTCTTCGATCTGAAGGGTAGAGAGGCAGCAAACGGGAACCAATAAATCTTTTAATTCAGTTCCACGAAGTCTGGAGATAGCAATCAAGCTGTCAGCATTAACTTCATAACCTAGAAGGAAGGAAAAAATGCATGAATAAAGATTTTTTTTTCTTCTACAAAATATACACGATAATATGACAGACACACAAAAATAATTGCTTCTAATTGTAGGTTTTTCAATAAAGAATACATGGTATCTGTTGATTTATAGATTTTCAAATTAATGACTTTCCATGACTAATTCCAAGAATTTTTCATGACTTAACGAAGTTACTATTTTCTCCGACAATAACACAGCAATAAATTTAAAAAAGCACTTTTATAACATTAATTGAAATGATAGGTATAACCAAAACTGTTATGCTCAGCATTTTCATATTTATAGATTTCAAATTTAAAAAACAGAGTAAAAAAAGAGTTGAAGCAATAAAATAGCTGAAAAAAATACAAAAGCAAATAATTTTTTTCTTTTTTCCGCAGAATTACATTCTAAAGATATTTTTCTTGTTCTTCAGAAAGGAAAGAAATACTCCTGATTTTTCTGTTCTCATTTCGGAATAAAAAATTACGCCAATGACTGGCTTGCTTCAGCTAGAATTTTAAATTGATTAAAAAAAAAAAAATTCCTAAATCACAGAAGTTTAAAAGATAATTCACTCAAGAAATGATGCTTTTTCTGTAATTTTTTGAAAGAACACCTTAATTTTTAACGAACCAGATAAAAACATTTTATATTTTAATCAAATATGACTGAGTGGGGATTTTGTTACAAATTGAGATATTCAGAACACCATGAAATTGGTGGGAGGGGGTAAATTCCATTTTAAGAATTAAATTTTTGGACAACCTAAATCCATGACTTTTCATGATTTTTTTGAAAAAATAGTTGAAATCATGACATTTCCTGATAAAATTTGTTCAACACGGAAATCCATGACTTCCCAGGTGCGCGGAAACCTTGAGAATAATAAATTGTACAAAATCATAAAAACTAAAACATGATTTTTAAATAAGATAACTTTTTCTAATGAAGCATAATAAAATGTTAGTATTTATAATATAAACTCATCAAGAACAATTGATTATTTTTCTCAACATTTATCAAATAACGTCAATTTCAGAATAGTTATTAAAACTACTTCATATTTAAAAATTAAAGCTTAAAAAAAATCCTTATTTCCGTGTTAAAAAACTGAATGTAATAAAGTGCAATAATAATTTTGTTTAATCATTTCATGTACATTAGAAAATTCAATCTTAAATAGTTTGGATTTGAATTTAATGTTGTTCAACGATCTTTTATTAAATATGACAGTGTGACAAAGCATAACATTTGTGAACTAAGCCAGACTAACACAGATTATTGATGCAAATACATGGGTGGGGGCACAAACATTCAACATCAAATTTATAATAAATTTTCAGTATAAATTTTCAGTTCTGGCTTATTCATCTACATATTGTAAATCTTTTTTTACTAGCTATTTATGTTGGAAATGGTTTTAAAACTTATTAAGACAAAAGAATAAATTCAACTTACACAATACATAAGAGATTAAGACATAATGGACAACATACCAGGGGCCTGTTTAGCAGAAATTTGGGTCCGTTAACGGACCCTTCACAAAATATTTTTTCATAAAAACGGACACTTCACAAAATATTTTAACTTAAAAACAGACCCTTCACAAATTTGTTTATCTTTATTGTTTTGTTAATCAAATAAACCCTTCCCAGGGCAGAAAACAAGAAAGATGTAAACGAATTAAGTTTTGTCTTCGGCAGACGATTCTTCCATTATTCGTCCGAAATGAATATTCTGCATTCAGCAGTATAGGCTAAATACCAAATATTTGTA